TTCTTTAAAGAGTTTTCCATCTGCAGAAATGTGATATGGAAATCCAGATATGATAGAACTTTAGACTTGCTAGTTAGTTTGCTTTCCAATATTTGCTGAGTAAAGTTTGTAATTGCATTATCTATAATCCATAAAAAAAAAAAGCCACGCAATTTTCATGGCTTCCTTCCGGGAGAAATCCCTCAGTTTTCGCGCTTTATTGGCTGCAATTTTCCAGAACTATCTCTCTTTCTCGGTGTGGGTGTGTGCAATGGCAAATTGAAAACTCTTAATGTCATTTGTGATTTGATCACAGCACCTCGTTAGTTCGAGCTCGGGGCGAAAACGGAGGAGGAAAGCTGCCAGTTGGCGTAACTGATAATTTGATTACTATATGCATGTATGTGTGTATGGGTATGAGTGTGTGTGTGTGTGTGTGTGCAGCGGGATGTTGTCTGCTAGTATGTACACACACACACACATGCTCTTGAGTATGTGGGCGGGGCCAATCATCAGCTTAGATTTCCATTTTTCCCGCTTGTTGCCTTGGGTGCAATAGATACGTGTATGTGTGTTTGTGTGTGTGTTTGTGTGTGTGTAAGTAGCAATTTCCTTTGCCCAAGTGTGCGTGTGTTTGTGTCTTTGTATGCTCCTCATTTTAGCTAGAATGGAAATTGTTGCTAAAGTCACTTTTGCTGTCGTAATTTCATAAATTGCGTAATTGCATTGGGGGAAAGAGCGAGGCTAATAAAACGAGGGAAAGAGATTGCAAGAGAAGTTGGCACCTTGGCTGTGTATATTTTATATACAGATTTATCTAATATCAAATGGCAGATGCATTTCCAAGCTCATTTCCATTCTGAGAGTTCAATTTAAGTGAGTTTTCCCGAAGCAATCTATAACCCATTTCCAGTTACAATTTCGCAATCAAAATGAAAGCTAAAAAAACTTCTTTTATGCTTCTTAATTGGTGTTTCCCCATTACTCCTTGATAACAACAGAATCAAACAGCATCAAATTTAATTGATATGAAAAATAATGTAAGTTAAATCAAACTCTAGGTTGAGAGGGCGAAGGTCATGTTTAGATATTTCCCTTTGCCTGTTTCGAAGAACCAAAGACCAACCACAATTAGGACCCAGTCGACCGCAGAGAAGGCCAAAGCTTTGTCAACCGAATGGCTTGCATATATCGGAAATATATATATATAGTATTTACTATATACATGCACTTGAGCTATCACCGATATCGTATGCAAACGTAAATTTCCCTGGCTTTTCGAATACGTGGCCATTGGTCTACGTGCCAATCCAATTTTACCGGCACATTGACTGTGGCTTTTCCTTGGCATTGACTACTGACTACTCACTACTGACTACCTGGCACGCTCTCAATTCGAATTCGAATTGAAAAAAGCACACACACACACACACACGCTGCTCCTCAGTTAGGGGGAGGGGGAAAATGGCAGACAACTTCTCAGAGCCAGCGAAGCGTTTACATAAGTGGCAAGTACAGAGAGAGTCGTAAATCGTGGCAAATCGTCCTCGGTCCTCGCTGGTCCGAGGTACGTAAATAAATTGATCAAAAATCACGCGAAAAAAATTGCTTTAAAATGTGCAAGGGCAGCCAAAAATCTCAAGGGAGTGTATCTTCTGTGCTATCTTCTATGAAATCAAGAAAAATCGCTGGGAAAGCACGGGATTTTCCCCGGTGTGTGGACAGGGCCAATAAAATGCCAATTAAATTGATTTCAAACTCAACATCATTTTCTTTTTGCCATGCATAAGGGGTCATTAATGAGCCATAGGAAAATGTATTCTCGTTGATTGATTGACGGATTGATTGGCCAAAAGGGAGGGGGTTCGTGTTGTCGAAGAGTGGCAGAGAGAGATAACCAGGGAGGGGAAGGCAATTCATTAGCATAAATTACCCGCAGAAACCAAATTTAGAAGAATTTGCATTTTTGGTTTTAAATTTAGTTTAAAAATTAAGCACAGAACAAGGTTTAAGCAGGGAAATTTATAAATTCATGTTTCTATGTTTGGCTTTAGTAGGGAAAGACAAAGAGAGTTTCGCTAGAGATACAAGGCAAGCTAAAGATACAAAACAAAGGATGTTTAAAGAATGGCTGGGAGGACATCCTGTTGCACTTGGAGCATATTTGATTGATGACGTTGGCACTTGGGTGCACACGATAATCATTTATAAGGCGCATAAATGTTCTGAGCTTCGAAAGGAAAAGCTAAGGGTGGCTGGGTTGGTTTTGGCCCGCGGCAGATGGCGTCGGCTGCAGAAGGAAAAAAACGGCACCCAAAAATATGAAGGGAATATCAGATTCAAATTCTGTCAAGAGATATGCTGAGGTCGTTGGTATTTCGGGAGGTGTTTTAGGGGGGTGTTTGGACTTAGTCTTGGTCTCGTCACGTCAGCTGCAGAGAGTCTGACAGCCACTGCACGAAATTTGCATTCAAATCGAGCCGTGTATCTGAATGGAAAACTCTGTGTCTGACACATTCCCAGCTGGCACACTCCTTTGTCGTGGATGAGAAATGGCTCTGGCTACGTCTCTGGCTTCGAACTTTCCTTGAATCTTCCTTTAGAACTTCTTCCAAGGGCATGAGATTAATTATCCATCCCCTCGCCATTCCCTTGAATGCTCTTGAATGGTTACTCCAACTTCCCACTAATTGGCCAAGTTTGTCCTCATTTCAGAGCTCCGAATGAATCTCCACAGGAGATGCGCCTGCCTGGGCTTTGATTTTCCTCCTTTGAAAGTATGTTATGAGGATAATTTTGAATCATTTATTGATTGCCCTTTTCCATTACTTACTTTCTTTGATATCATAAGCGGGAAAATGTGACAACTAGAAGGAAAACTCCGTCTCCTGCTCCTTCTCCTGTTTCCACTCCCCTCCACTATCAAAAGCTAACAAAAACCCGCTGATGCTGCAGCTGCCAATTACAGCGACTGCTTTTCTAATTAGATGCACCCACAAGCCACCCCCACTCACATCTATCTGACATGGTGAAGAAAAGCTAGAGGGGGGAGGGGGCTAATGGTGGAAAAGGAAAGCGAAAACTCAGCCAAGTGCATGAGTCGTAGGCGTGAAGTTTCGCTAACAACTCGCTGCCAGCAAAGTGCAATCGAATATCCGATGATTATGTAGCTCAGATACAGCAGCAGAGGTTTTTCTTGGGATTTTTCCAATCAGTTTTCCACTGTAAGGCAGATTATAACTCTATTTAATAGAATATAAAGTGACTTTGCTTCGCGCCATATGCAATATATAATATATATTCGTTTGCCTTTAAGACTCGCCTTGCCTCGAGTGAAAATCTGCTCCCTTGAGGTTTTTCGCCCGCAGCACATTTCCCCCCCACACACCATTCGATTTGCTGTTTATCGATCAGAGCGAATCTCGTGCCATATAAGATTGTATATATATTTATTTTTAGAAATCGCGTAAACATAAGTTGCCCTGGAAATCGGATGGATGACTGTTGTTGGTTGGCCTCCCCTTCGAGATGGAAACTGCGCTTTATCGGTTAAATTGCTCAAGTGCAGTTGGTCTATGATTTTGTGCTCGTAGTCGTTTCCGGTTGCTGCCACAGAGTTTTCCATTACCCATTCCCCATTCTCCATTCCCCAACCCCCATTCCTCATGATCCATTAGAATGAATCAGTGAATGAATGAATCTATCTGAATCTCAGTCAGTCGGTCCCATTGTGCAAGTGACCTTGGTCAGGGGAAGAGAGGCAGGGAAAGGCACTCGCCACCCATGCACCCAATTCCGTAAATGAACCATCTCTCCTACTGAATATGAGTCAATTAATATAACTCAATTTGATGTTGTGCCGGAATGATTTGGCTGTGAATACCCTGTAGAAGTTGTTGGGAATAGTGAAGGCGCTTCAGTTTGATAGATTTTTTAGTTTTACTAATAAGTAGGAGTTATCTGGGAAAGGGAAAGGCTAGCTAATCAGATTAGCTTACTTTAATCTGTGCTTTCATATTGTCTTTCGGGTAGAGTATTCACAATTCCCCACTCTTCTTCTCAACTTAAGTTGTTTTGCCGTTCGGTGTGTGCTTTGGTGTGATGAGCGATGTGCGATTTGCGTTTTGCGATGTGAATCACGATGGAATTGCATTTGATTTTGGGAGGCTCGCATTTGGATTTGAATTTGGATTTGGCTTTTGGGCAACAGTTTATGTGCTTAGTTACTCAATCAATTAGCCTGCTGGCTCCGATAATAGCAAATGAAAACGATAAAGAACTCGATTTGGATACCGAGTGGCAGAGCCAGGCCAGAACTTAGGCCAGAGAATTTATCAAGTCAGTACAGTGTGGTGATGCTGATGATGCCGCGATAGAGATGAAAAATCAAAGGCACAGTGGAAGATCTTTGGTTTGATGTGAACTTGAGCCAAAGCTCAGTATGCAAAGCTTTTGGTTAACCCCACTGAAACGCCACCTTGCTTGACAAACACATCTTTCGTGTGTCCCTGGGGGTCAGTGAGTCAGTGAGTCACGCGGTGTATACGGTTTAGTATACATTAGTTTAGTATAATGTAGCTCACGCACACACACACTCGCTGCTCAAATTAACTTTATTTGGGCCACGGACGATGATGGGGTATGCTTATTAGGCTAAAAAAAGGAGTGGAAATACATTGGGTTAAGAAAAGAAGTCCTTTTTGGGGTTAAATTAGGTTTATTTTCAAGTTTTAGGGCAACAAATCAGCTTAGTGGAACTTCAAAAATAAAGTATTTCCTATAAAATAGGTGTAATAAATCTTATTGATTAATCACCTCACATATTTATACACAGAAAGTACTTGTTTTTAGCCCATTCTGTCCCACTGTGTGGCTCGCGCTCTCTCTCACTCTCTCTCTCTCTCTTGCTAGTCAGCTCTCTCTCTCTCTCTCTTGTTTTATTCGCCGAGTGTGACGGTGGGAGAATTCTGAGTGTTTGCGAGCGGGAAAGGCAGTGTGTTATTTGTTGTATTTTCAGTGGCGTTCGGTGCGTGCTGGCGAGCGCAATATAAATTAGTTAGTTGGCGCTGTATTTTCGTTCGATTCAGCGGCATCAGCTGGATTATCTGGACTAGCGGGGCTTATCTTGATCGTAGCCAGCATCAGCTCTTCTGGATCCGGACACGATGTCTGGTACTCAGGACTACGATCGGAAGTACCTGCTTAGCATGCCGGGCATTTGCAAGATTGCCTGTTTGGTAATTAGTCATACGACATACGCTTTTCCCTCCCCATTTCGACCTCACTCAATTTCTCTTATTTTCCCGCCCCCAAAACAGCTGTGCAGTTTCATTGGAATTCTGTGCATTATCTGCGGACCGGTGCGCGTGAGCAATTTCCGTGGCAGCTTTTACCTGGCGGTGGTGTCCATTGGCTTTGTGGCCACCGCTGGCCTGCTCTTGGCCAGGTATCTGCGAATGTGGCAGCGCCAGTTTTGCCGGTGCGATCCCACGCTCTGGTCCCTGGCCGTCCACTCCTCCCTGGCCCTGGCCTACTTCACGGCCTCCGGACTTGTCCTCTCTCTGGACATTGGAGCCTATACGGCGGCGGCGGTAAGTTGCGGAGGAAGAAATTCCGCCGAAAGGGTCATTAAATAGGTCGAATTACCATGCTGTGGCTCAGCCAATTTGCAACGTTTGGCCCGCTCAGTGGAAATTGTTTAAAGAATCTGCATTCGAGTTTTAAGAAGTTGTTTACTGTAGAGTTTTCTTTCTGAGATTTACATATATTAATACAATCTCAAAAGAGGGCTCTAATATCACTATTTATAGATACCAATACTAATAATCACCAGAAGATATATCAAGCTGTAAATGTATCAAGAAAGCCTTTGCGATTAGATAACATTGTTAGTTCCCTTTTAAGTTATCAATGATTCGAGTGCAGAATAAAGTTTATTGTTTAAATAGAGCCACTAGGGTATTCCCTGGAGAGTCTTAACCCATATAGTAACCCCCATTTCTCTCTCTCTGTCTCGCTCTTTTTCAGTTTTTTGGCCTGACGGCGTTTTGCATCAACGGACTGGAGGCCTACGGCAACTATAGGCGCAGTCGCCAGAGGGAGGTGGCCACCCAAACGATTTAGTCGCGTTTTTATTTTCTTTTTTTGGTGCACAAAGCCCAGCTTTTCGGTGGCTTTTACTAAGTTAAGCTTGTGTGTTTGTGTGAATGAGTATCTGTGTGAATGAGTATCTGTGTGAATGAGTATCTGTGAGAATGAGTATCTATGAGAATGAGTATCTTTTGCATTAAGTCTGTCGCTGGCAGTGCTAATGCGTGTGTTATCTAACAGTCGCTAGATATAGGTCAAGAAGTGAAGAAGATAAAGCCAGTAGATCGGTCAAGAAACCCCAACGAATAACCTTAGATATATAGCAGAGAGATCGAAAGAGAGAGAGAGAGTAAAAGAGAGAGAGTGCTAACGAAAGAGAAACCTAACAGTAGAAAGAGAGCCTATTCCAAAGAGATAATTCTTGATGTGTCTTCTGGCTTCGCTTCTTCTTCCTCTTCTTCAGATAACTGGTTAACAAAGCGTGAATATATATATATACCTAATATATATATATCTGTAAATATATTTTTGTACCTTAGTTAAGTAACTTCTGAGTGTCGCAATTAAAGCTACTTTAGTTGGTAATTTAAGGCTCTTTTTTGATGAAACAGTTTTTTGCAGTCACTGTATTGTTATGTTTATAACTATATATCTATATATATCTATATATCTATATATATATAGCATATAAATGTGATGTGGATTATTATTAAAGATTCTCGAATATCGTATTTCGGTTTTGCGTCTTGGGAAAACCTTTGTTATTTGCCCAGTCAAGTGTGCCTTAAGATATTGTCTTCTGAATTTTATTCCCATATCCCATTGTTGTTGGTCAACAAACAAACAAACAATTTTGGGCTAAACATTGGTGTATAGAATTTCCGGAAGCTTCGGCTTTGTGGCGAAAAGATATCGCCAACTTGCACCAGTGGCTGGCTACGTTGCATGCCTTCGCCTTACCCTCCGCCGCATTCAAACTGAAAATAAACAGGTAAGCCTCCCATGGGTGGGAGTCCTCTTATCTGGCTCTGTTTATGCTTTTGTGAGGCTCTTCTGGCTGCCGGAATGGAATGCCATTGTTGGAAGGGCAACAACCAACACCCAACCACCCCAAAGCCCACAAATATACTCACCTTGAGCTTTTTCTCTCGCCTCGGCCTTTGTTGCCATTCTGCGGGGCTGTTGGGCTGTTGCCTCATTATTATTACTTTTGTTGCCAGTTTGATGAAGTTTTCGCCCCCCGATTCGTGTCTATTTCTGGCACGATTTATTCATAGTTAGTTGTTGTTTGCCGAGCATAAGCAAATTTTCAGCCCAATACGCTAAACAGCCTAATGATGGGCGCTATAAACTTGCTTGTGCAAGTGCATTGGGCAACCCTGAAAGTGCTAGAGGGTTGCCTTGCCACTACACCACCGCTGACCTTGTGTACTTTTCGGCTATTTAAAGAAAGAAAAGTAAAAGGGAATTTAGAGGAACTAAATGCAGTTTCTGAATCCCAACTTGTTGCCAACAATTCAAAGGGTGAATTTCCTCTGGAAAATTAAATTCTGATCCCTGATATTAATATAGCAATAGCTTCTCCTACAGTTCGCCCTTTTAGCTAAACGATCATTTAATTATTTCTCTGCCGGCAGCTCTTAGCACTTCCCATACCTAATGTGCCATAATTTTTGCCCCTCCATCGACCTCCATCGGCCATGCAAGTCACGTAAAGTGAAATTAATTAGTCTTGTTTGCCAGTTAGTCAGCCTCCTTTCAGGATGGGGAACTCTGGGCGGAAGTGCGGTAGATGCGGTAGATGCGGAAGTGCGGGGCAAAGGGTCAAACGTTGAGTGATTGAAATGCAATCGTGTGGACCGAAGTTCATATTGAATTTTTGTTGGTACTTCTTTTTGGTGGGTCCGCACTTCCTCCCCCTTCTTGCTGGTGATTTATGCAGGCGGAGGGTTCAGAGGGTTGACTGACTGGCCCTAGCTTAAAACATTTTCCTGTTCCGTTAATAAGATCACAGCTCAATTGGAAAAACGCCATGGCAATGGCAATGGCAATCCTTGTGCTCTTTCATAATTCCTTCCTGGCCTAATTAGCCGTCGACAGATCTGCGATAAAACATCAATGAGAACGGCAAATGGAAAAAAAAGAAGTCCTCGAGGGCCATAATAACCACAGGGTCTGGTGATAACTTTTGCCCGAAATATAATTTGTAAAGTGTGGGGAGAGGGGAAGAGGGGGGTAGAAGGTGGTCTGTCCTTAATTAATGAAATCATTTTCAAATCAAACGCGCATTTTATCAAAGTCAGGCCGCCGTTCCTCGTGCAATTTATCTGGCTTGGTTCCAGGCACTTGGAAAAAATCATTTTCCCAAAACAAGGAAATTGGTTGAAAAAATCTTAAAAAAAATATATTTTAAAATTAAAAATCATTTTAAATATGATATTTTAGTTCTAAAAAAAAGATATATTTTCACTTTGTTCCGACTTTTTCTTCGACTGCATCGTGGTCTGCCCTTCCCCGTAGAATCCATTCCATTCCAGGCCAAAACGTTGCGGTGGCCAAATGACGCGTTGAAATGCGGGCCTAGCAGCGCCCACTTCCGACCCTCTTTTTGGCCCACTTTTGACCAGGCCTTCTTCAACCGCCACAGCTATGCAAACGTTTTGGGATGCTAATGCGGCCAAAATAAATGATGGCATGAAGGCATCTTTGGCCATTTTCTGGCCGCCTTCATCTTTCATCGGCTGTTGCTTTTTTTTCTGCCTTTGTTTGCCGGCATTACTTTTAATTTCCAGCATCCGCATTTCATCTTCGGAAGCCTGTAATTGTCGCACATCCTTTCCCCATTTCCCTCTCCCTCTCCCTCTGCCACTGCCTAGCGGCCAATTCGAAAGACAAAACAATGAGACACCGATTCCTGCCTGGGAGAGTTTCGAAAGCGAAATTAATTTGTCAAAATTACTGAGCCCGCCTTTGGGCGACAGATAATTTATCTGTCAATTTTGCGAGTGTCCTTGATACTAATTGACTTATTAACAGTCGATCACTTGTTGTCCCTTCATCACTATCATTTTTGGGGAGAAATCCAATTCGTAAAAAACAAGTGTCGTATTTTCATCAACATAATCGAAAAATTGTTAAAAATTTGTAAACTTTGAATGCAGTTTGTCTGGAATTTTAATACCGACTACCGCGTTGTACAACATTCTATATCACGTCCGTTTTTCACTTTGTGGTGGGAAAAACTCAGATTATTATAGAGCAAAAATCTAGATTATAACTTCTGAGCGAAAATGCAATATTTTTTATCGCTTTTATACCCATAACTTAGTCAAAACAAAACGCAGAGCTAAAGTAAATACTGTTTTCAGCAGGTTACGGCCAAAACTTGCGACCCTCATCACTCGTTTGTTGAATTTCGAAAATTAAATTTTTGACAATTTTTCACATTTTTGTTTTAAGGGGTGTAACATCATTGAAATTTGTGAAAATTGGCAAAAATTTTATATATCAAGCTGGGTTTGCAGTTTTGTTGGAAGTCAAAATACGAGCTCATCAAGGTATTACATTCCATATTCGGACCATTATTAGCCAAGTTATGGGCATAATACTGTCACTTCGGGGGGAAATCTGCATAAACCAAGTTTTGTATTTATGATAAGGGGTAACATCATCATTTTTGGCCGAAAATGGCTAAAATATCACATTTTAAAGTGTGAATACAAATCTGTTTTTAATTAAAAGACAATCTTAACGAGGTATTACATTTCATATTCGGACAATTATTGGAATTTTTATTGCTAATAAACAAATTCATTTTGGCCAAAAATCAGTATTAGCGACTTACCAACATAATATTTAAATATTTTTATCGGTTTTTAACTCTTAACTGGTAAAAGAAAACGTTTTCGACGCTATAAGGAATAGGTATTCATGATCAGGCTCAATGGCCAAGCTTATTTAGCATTATCCTTTTGTCCGTCAGTCTGTTGGTTAGCCGCCAATCCGTCTGTCCGCCTGTTCGTCTGTCCGCCTGTCCGTCTGTCTATCCGTCCGTCTGTCGTCCGCCTGTCTATCCGTCCGTCTGTCCGCCTGTCTATCCGTCCGTCTGTCCGCCTGTCTATCGGTCAGTCTGTGCAATAAACATCAGCCAGGCACTAAATAACAGTAGTCACGCTCCTTGCACTAAGAAAACGTCGATTAGATTGCTTTCTACTTCGCCCATCTATAAAAAGTCATAAATAGTTTTTATTCTAAACAAAATTTAAATAATAAAAAAAAAAAAAGTGGCAAAGCAAAAAAAGGAATGTATCTCGTCCTTGGCACTGAATAGGTCCTTGAACACTTTTAAGTCCGACGACCAACCAGCTTCCTTCAGAGAATTTTATCTTTCCTTCACATTCGGCTTGCTTAGACTGTCATAATTTATTGGACAAATAGCAAGTGGCGGAATAATGTGGGAAAATTACTACATACAGTTCGGAGGGCGGCTGGAACTCGAACTTGAGTCCTAGAAACTCCAATCAAAGTGGAGTTGCGCTGTTGAGCTCTTAGAGCGCTGAGCCACCGTGGCCCTTGGATGTTATGGCTCTAAAATGGTGACACTTCCTTACCGACGGAACAGCCCACCTTATCGATGCACTGCCTTGCCGACAACTGAAAACGAATGCCAGACGGCGCCATGTTACTTTACATTCTACATCATACACGTTTTCGACATTATACACTCTACCCAGAACATACAATGTAGGTTTAGACATTCGACAGTTTTCTGACATTCTACACTTGACTTACATTCGACGCTTCCCCTTACTTTATACATTTCTAAGTAAGAATACATTTTCGTAATTTTTACACAGTAAAACCTCCAAGTAAGAGTCAAGGGCTTAAGTTTTTATATATTTATTTTAGCCATCACTGTCAAAGTGTCTTAGATTTTCGTTGGTGCCCAAATTAGGTTCGAAAATATAACTATTTCCGATCGATAATTTATTAAAAATATTTCGATTTCGTATTTTTACATCTAAAGGGCAGCCTGTGCTGTGCGCTGCTGCTGTTTAATGTTAAAATTTTCGATTACATTCCTTAGGCCTAGGGTCAAGAGTAATGTGTAGGTTTCCTAGGGTCTAGTAAAAAAAAAGGTTCTCATATTTTTGGTTTTTCAGTATGTTTTGGGTTCGTTTTGGGGTTTTTCATTTGGGGAAAACTTATGAGTTACGTTAACCTAAAGGGTTATCCTTTTAGCCCGTTAGACCTCTTCGGTTTTCATCGATCCCCCGTTGGCAGCCAGCTCCATTTTGATATTGGTCTGGGGATTCGGTTGGGTGCGGGTTGGGGAAATGGCGTTGTTGTTGTGCTCCTCGTTGAGCTTGAGCATATCACTTGGCTCTCTCTCCTGCATCTGCACCTGGCCCTGGGCGAACCGCCGCACCTGCAGGAAGAGCCCACCGTTGTTCAGCAGCCGTGCCTGGTGCTCCTGCGCCTTGGCTCTCAAGCAGGCAATGGAGTTGTTCCTGCAAAGATATTACATTATCATTAGTTAGTCGTGGTAATTAAAAGATATACTAAAGCCAGAGATAAACCCACCTAAAGGCATCCGGATCGTGTTCCATGAGGGCCGCCGCCAAGTTGTGGGCCTGCAAGCCAGGTCCTGCCGCCGTGACCTGCGACTGTTGCTGGAGTTGCTGCTGCTGCTGCTGTTGCTGCTGCTGCTGTTGTTGTTGCTGCTGCTGAGCAGCTGCTGCTGCTGCTGCCACGGCTGTGTTCATGATCAAGTGGAAGTCCTTGCTGGAAGCGGCAGCTCCTGCCCCGGCGGCATTAGCAGCATCCAGGAGCGGATGATAGCTGGGAGGGGCACAGCCACTCCCACCGCCCATATAGAGCGGCACCTGTTGCTGCTGCTGCTGTTGATGCTGCTGCTGCTGTTGCATTTGGAGCTGCTGCGGCGAGGGGGAGCCCAGCTCGATGTGTGGACTGCCAGAACTGTTGGTATTGGCCCCAGTGGGCGTGGTGGCCGCCGAAGAAGCTGCCCCCGCATAACCGCTCGTCGAGGTGGGCGGGGCCGTGGAGACGGAGTTGGTGCAGCTGCTGGGTGCAGGGCTCACAACGTTCAGTGATTCAGTGGAGGAGCTAAGGGGGCGAGAGCGTGAAAGATCCTCAGAGTAGGCGGACTTGGAACCCGCCGAGTCCTCATGATCGCTGACCCCCGAGTCGTCCTTGAGCGCCGACTGGGCCTCGATGGATTTGCGATGCATGCCTGGAAAGGTTGAAGAAGCACAGTCAGTAAGGATCTACAGATATATATATAAAGAAATTGGGATTATCTAAGAGATATACCTACTCCATTTCTAACTCTAAGTCCATAAATCAAATGGAAGATGCTGCCAAAATATTGGATTAAATAGCAATTTAGGGCTCACGATTGCCGCCCCATGAATTTGCCAACTAATTTGACATATCGACTTAATTAAAAACTATTCCTATGTTCCCCCACCCCTTGCCGAGCTGGATTCCAAAGGACCCGCCAAGTCCTCGATAAGCCACTTAAGTTCGAACGAACCTTTGGCCACGGCTACTTCGGAATTAATTATCGAGTCAGCCGGCTCGTAAAATCCGCTGCGGCCCACACAGAAACCACCACCACCCTCCCCTTCGAAGGCCGCCAGCACAATGGGCAGAGATAGATAAACGATAAATGCCAAATAAAACGGGAATTCAGCGGCGTACCCTCCTCATCCTGCGTCGCGTGTGCATTTTGCATTTATTAAGCGATTATTAACGTATAAAGGAGACCAGTCACCCCGAACCAGTGCGACACTTGTCCGGGGCTATTCCCTTTCCCCTCTGCAGATAATCCGCAAAGTCATTCCCGGGAAATGTGCGCAACATATGACGGGAAGCGGAAAAGCGCCGTTGGACATGCTTGGCAAATATGCTCACAATTCTCAACTGAACTGAACTCGACTCGCCTCAACTCGACTCGACTCGTCCTCTATCTATCTGTTTATAATCCCCGAACCGAGGTCCTTTGTGCGGCTGAAAATTTAATTAAACCCTCCTTAAGGACGAGTGATATGTTATACAGAGAAGTTTCCCAGCTTTACAGCTGTCTTGAAAAAATAGCCAGTGAATGGAAAATGAAAAATGGAAAAACCAAGAAACTGAGCTGCTTCTTCTAAGGCCATGTTTAGTGGTCTGCTGGTGGGGGATTACTAACTAGACTAGTTGATTTAGATAGCAAAGCGATATGATTGTTGCATTTACATTTCTGCTCCATACCTAGTAGCCAGGGAGCCACCGCATCGTTGTCCTTGGCCGACTTGAGGATCGTATCAGGCAGCGGCAGCGAATGCCTTACCATGGCCCCATACAGTCCATACTCAGCCATGATCGTGCTGCCGCCCCAGACCTTCTCCGTCTTCCGCCATTTGGCCCGACGATTTTGGAACCAGACCTGGAAAGAAAAAAAAGGGAAAACAAATATTATTTCTATAATCCAAGGGTTGATTCTTAAACAGCGAGAAAAACAAGCAAAAGTTAAATGGAAACTATTTAAATATTAATCGCCATTTTGCCTTGGTAAATTCTTCCGCTTAAAGTGCTTTTCCTCCATATGGACATCGACCTCATCAGTGGCCAATGGCCAATGGCCACTGACCATCAGATCTAATCCTTGGAAAATGCTATGCAAATTGCAAATTATTGAGTAAAAAACTCATTCAAATTGAAAAAATGTAAATGGAATGTTTTTTAAATGCTAATACTTGGACCATAAACCTTTCAGCTGTTCTATATATATATATATATATATATCTGCATTAAAGGACAAAGTTTTAAGACAGAGGTGTGGTTAAGGGGGGTCTCAAAAGATATATATTAGGAATCCTTTGGATTATAAGCATAAATCCTTAAAAATCTCTTCCTGAAATAAATCAAAATTTGGAGGACAAACACCTATAGCTGGTTGGATATCCCCCCTTGACAACGAGCCCCTGGATAGCCAGGACTTGCCACATGGTTAGCAACATCAATGCCCCACCATTGACAACCCACTCGTAGCTGCCACTGCTGCTCCTCCACACATAATGGCAAATGATATACATATTCGCATATAAGTGACCAAATTAGATTATCTTCCGAAACATTAAACCGATTCTTTGCCGGCAACAGCAGCAGCAACAACAACAATGATAATAATATGAAAACATTAAATGCTGTTCACAAAGGCCAGGACCAGCAACAGCAACAACAACAACAACAACAACAACTGTCACAATAAAAGGATTTGCCACACAGACAGGCCAAAGGATTCAAATCCAACCACCCTCTCGGCAGTGGAAAAGAAGTCATCATTTTTCTGGTCCATCAAATCGTTTAGTTCTGCTATTAGTCATGTACGCCGAAGGGGGAGGGTCAGGGGTTGGCAGCAGCAGCAGCAGCAGCAACAGCAGCAGCAAGGAGAGGGGTGGACAGCAGGGAAAGGACACCAAAGATTGCCCCAGCAATGTGAAATCGACGAAGAGCTGAAGTGGCTCTTGGAAGCGACAGAAGGAAGATTTATAATAAAAAAGCAATATATGCAAAGCAGGCAGAAAGTGTGGAAAGTGGAAAAGTGAGGGGGGAAAATAGGGAGGGAAAAGGCTGGCGACATCTCTGCTAGGAATTCGTTGGCCAAGAATCAGGCACCGAAAGCCAAAATGCCAGAATGCCAACCTTAACCCCACGGATTGAACGAATCGCCAGAAATCGTGTGTGCGTGTGGGTTAAGTGGGCAACAGGGCTGCGCTGGGCCACTGGGCGTGGCAAAGTATAAAATATATAAAAAAAAAAAAAAACCACAGGAAAAACGAAGATAAAGTGATTTGGCTTGGAGTTCTGTCACCAGTCCCGGGTTGCCTACCACCAGGAGCCCCATAAATCTTGGAAACCCACTTTCCTGAGAAATTGGCAGACCCGAATTGTGACTTCTCCCAAGGGGAAGGCGATGGAGGCGGCGGAGGGATATAGTTAGAGGATAAAGGATATGATATGTAAACTATATATATATATATTTTCCAGGCAGCCAGCAGCCAGCAGCCACTCAGTAAATGCCGCGAAGTTTTTGGCAAAATGCCGCACGTCTCAGCCACGTTAATCCCCATTAGTTTAAGGCTGCTTTTTGGTATATAACTTTAAGAATGATAAAGAAATATTGGAAGATTATATGATCAATGATCTTAAAAGTCCCAGAACTAGTTCTCATTAGTACTATAAAGTAGAAACTTTCCTCATTTTCCCTAACAAAAGAACTAGCTTTCTGATTAGCATTGTGGCAAAGTGTGACTCAGCGTGCGCCTTGGCTGGGATTACTCGGGCGTGGAAGGGCAAATAGATCCGAGGGATCTGAAATTACCCGCCACTGTGCTTCGGAGTGCTGCTCCTGCCAACGGATGTCAAATTAATTTCCACACACACACAGTCTCCGAATTTGGACCCTGAGACTTGGATGCCTTGGGAATTGGGGCCTGGGACCTGGGACCTGGGACCTGGATCTTGGCTCTTGGCTCTTGGCCCTTTCTGGCTGCAAAATCAAATTAATCCGGTTTGTTATTTCATCATGCAACGTCAACGTCACCATCATCAGCTGCAACAACAGACAAAAGCCTGCTGCAGCAGCAACAGCAACAGCAACAACAACAGCAACAGCATTTTGCAATAATAAATGGCAACACACAGACTGGCACACCCTGGGTGTAAACAATACACACACACACATAGATAGGAGAAGCCTCTGCCAAAGGAGCGGAAAATTTCATTAACAAGGCACACACAGCCAGCAACATGAAAGCACAGCAGCAACATCCACGTCCGGAGGCCACTGGCTCGTCTGATAATTTAATCAACTCTCATTGAATTATATCATTTTGCAATTTGGAGGCCCAGCAACATCAACATCCCATCATCCAGATCCAGTTCCAGTTTCAGTTCCCAGATACAGATACAGATACAGATACCGGGAGTGGCGACCGGAAAAGCGGGGCCGGCAATATCGGTAGGGCTCTTTGAGTGCGGAAATCATAGAAGGAAATGCCATAGATTTCCCAAACGGAAATTCGATGGCACACCTCATTGGCGGGGGGGCACCTACGAAGGTGCAATGAGTAGTCGTTTGACATTAATTTGGTTAAACAGATGTAGAAACATAAGTCTGGTATATATATAATGAATCTCTTTTCACTTCTCAATACGAATTTCCGCAACTTCTTCATGACTGATTTTCTTCCCGTAAATCAACTTAAGCCTCCCTAATCGCAATTTTAATTTAATTGATGCTCCGGGCTAAGGCTGGACAGAAATCGGGGTAAGAATCAGATAATGCCAACCACTTTAATATAGATAACAGCCTGGACAATCTGCCGCTAAATGATTACTTGACCATTATTCCCGCCTCCTTTGACTTCCAATGCTCTGCCAATACGCTGCGAATCACGACATCAATTTGCTGATTGAAAATTTATTATTATCCTTGAAGAAGAGGGGAGGCAGAGGGGGTGGGAGTGGTTGTAGGAGTTGCCTTCGAAGGGGTGAATAGTTCGAAGGACCATTTTTATGGGGCGCAACTGAAAAGGGGGCCACGCCTCTTGTCCGGTTGGTGGAAATGGCTTTTGATTTATCGAACATTTCCACTGGCTGGACGAATGTAACGATTGACCGATGATGAGGTCACTGCGAAAAGGGATTCCCCAGGGATCATAATGTATCTTTAAGATACATTATTATTGCTTTTTCCAATCGGATTATAAATTTCTTCAAATGAAAATCCAATTCATAGCCAGCCCCCCCACACTTGAAAGTGAAAAATCAATTAATTTCCTAGGCCAGTTTTATGTAAATGAAACCACAACGAGATAGGGGGAGGGAGGAGTAGAGAAGAGCTCTTAGGTTAGCCCACGGATATTGCAGTGACCACCGGGACAAGCTTTTGTCCTCCTGTTGCATTCGCAATTGTCAAACCAATTTCCCGGAACTCAACGCTGGTCCACTGCATACGCACAAAAGGTCACAGGCCCTCGGGCCTGACCAGAATGGCCAGCATGGCTGGCATAATTAAAATATTGGTAACCAATCAAAGATTCTCAATGGGCAATGTGCTGGGGGAGAGTATCTGCTCACTGGGGCTGCAAAATTGCGCAAATTGCATATGCAATGGGTGGCAGGAGAACTCCCTTGCTCCTTTCAGGTGACATGTGCACCTACCTCTCTGCATCGATTCGATTTTGCCCTGCATTCGGCCGGGAATTTGCCTTTGAGTTCGTGTGCGGCCTTTATTGGTTTACTTCATCAACTCGAACGACTGAGTGGTTGGGTGGCTTACGGGCGGCATCTGTGGGTGTCCTCGAATGGTTGGGTTCGTAGGTTGGTTGGTTGGTTCGTTGGTTGGAGTGACTACTACCACAGCCACGTGGTGGTGGTGCTACTGCTGCTGCCAGTCAGTCAGTCAGTCAGCCCGGCGAGGCGTGTGGAAATTTCATAACGACAGTCCGCAGTTTATATGCAATATTCAATTGACATTCGCGGAATTTGGTTGGCAAACTTGGTCTAGGAAGGGTATATCAGTTGGGTGAAGCAGTTGGTAACTCAGAAAATTATATGGTAAAACGAAATTTATAATCATAGGTAACATTAAGTAAGGGTAAAAGGGTTTAGAGAAGCCCCAACCAAGACTATCCAAGATTGTTAAGAACTTCAGCAAGCTCTCTTTTCCTGACCTATTTGATATTTCCCCCATAGATAGGGTATCTTAAAAGTCCCTTTGCGTTCTTCTATAGTTTCCTCTTTCTCCCCTTACCCACCCCCTCTTTGTCTTTGCCATCTTTCCATCTTTTTTCCCGCTGGAACTTCAATTTTCCAACTTTCATATGAGTTTAACGGTCGCGAATTTTCCTTTTTTTTTTTTTGCCCCCTCACTCTCAGTGAAAAAGAAGGCTAAAGCTGGCAAAAAAGAAGCGGGAGGGAGGCAGCGAGCTTTTCAGCTTAACGGACTAAGAAATGTAAATGCGAAATGATTTTTTGGCTTACTACTCGCTCTCCTTAAGTCGAGTATTAATTTACGGAGAACGGACTTGACTTTGGAGGTGGTTATTAAGAGGTGGTTAAGGTGGTGGGGTGCAGCAGTAGCAGGGGGGGGAGGGGGGTGGAAAGTCCGAAAGGAACATTGCACATGCTAGAGTCGTACTCGCATTAATGACCTTTAGTCGACATTGAGCTGGCAATGCTGAACTATTAATTACGACCAAATGATGTTTAAAATGCTCAATGATTAATGAAACGATTTTCTAATTACGTTCTGAGATGATCAGAGGGGGCGGTCTGTGACTGTAATAATTACATAACAATTAGGCAATGCCTTAAGTAATCCGGGTAGTTAAAACGTTTACCCATAGATGGCGTTTAAGTGGTTGTTAACCCATGTTA